TTGAAACGAGTTCGTGATCAGATTCGTCATGAAACCTCCTTCCCGTCATAAGCTCAGTGGCGTACTATTGAAACGAGTTCGTGATCAGATTCGTCGGGAGCACGTGATCAAGTTGATTAACGAGCACCCGTACGTGTCAATCGTGACAGATGGATTGAGCGATGTGAACAGTTCGAGTATTATTAACTTTATGGTTGTTGCACCTGGAATGCCATCTCTGTTCTGGTCGTCATGGTCGACGAGGTCAGAGCAGCATACAGCTTTGTACATAGCTGGAGAGATTGCAAACGTTATAGCGGATATCGAACGTGAAACAACGGCCCAGGTCGTCTCGGTCGTTACCGACAATGCGAAAAAAATGAGGAGCGCTACGGGTCGCATTCATACCAGGCGTCCTAACATCGTAAGTGGTGGATGTGCAGCCCACGTCCTAAATCTACTCATGCAGGATGTATGCCAGCATCCTGAAATTCGTACTATCCAGTCGAGAGCCGTGGCTGTTACCCGTTATGTGAAAGATCATCTTGCGTTACTGGATGAATTTAAACGACTCCAGCAAGAAATGCGCGATGTTGGGCTAAGTGCACGAAATCTCGTGCTTCCCGTACCGACACGATGGTATTCGGTGTTCTCCTGCTTGCGAAGTGTGCTAAATAGTCAAGATGTTCTCGAAAAACTATTTTTAAGTCCGGACTACGATGGTTTCCGTGACAGGTACCGAGGAACTGAGCCGGGCCGAAAAAAATTACGATACATGACCGCTCTGGCTCAGGACATCAATTTCTGGAATGGACTTAGAACTACTGTGCGCTTACTTGACCCAATTATTAAGGCTCTGCGAGAGCTTGAAGCAGATAATGTCTTCGTTTCGGGTGTCTACAAGTGGTTTAGATAGCTACGTTTTCATTCAGCCTACGGGGTGACAACACTGGAACAAGAAAGAGCTTTTTCGGCACCTAATAATTCTGGTGAAGGGGGGATTGAGCTGCTCAGTAACACGGTTGAACGTGTTATTGCCACTGCTTACACCGAGAATCCGTCTCACAGCACGATGCCAGAGGAAGAGAGGTTGGTCGCTGGAACTGATTACCAGAATGTCATTGCACCTCCACTCTCTGAGCTCCAAGCTTTTTTTCGAGGTAAGATTAAGAAGCGCTGGGATTACGTCCACACAAACGCGATGGGTATTGCATTTATGCTTGACCCAGCCATGGATCTCGACGACTTTGTCGGATTGGACGACGAGACAGTGGATGAACAAATTCGCAAAATGGCGAAGGATTGTAGGCTGCTCACACCTACTCTTGGTATTCCAAAGCTCACTGCTGAGATTCTCAACTTCAAGAGCAAGAAACGATCTGGTGGAGAAGCACTCCGTGAGACGTATTCAGAGTCAAGCCCACTTGACTACTGGAACGCCAAAAGCAACAAAGAATTTCCTTTGCTCAAGAAAATAGCTGCAATTGTGTTCTCAATACCGACATCATCAGCTGCAAGCGAGCGCGCCTGGATATTCGATCACATTCATTCGAAGAGGAGAAACAGACTCTCCGTTGAAAAGGTCGAAATGCTTGCCTACATCTACATCAACCACGGTAGCATCAGCCACGATGCAATTGATCTTGCTCGCCATCAGTCTTGTCCAAAAAGCGTAGACAGCGAGTAAAATGTAAAGTTCAATTACATTTTACCTTCCTCTCGCATTCCTCTACGTCGGAGAACGCAGTCAATGCGCTTCTGCACATTTCACCGCTTGGACCACGTCAAGCCCGGTGAGCGGTAAGAGGAGGAAGTTTGAGATTTCAAAGACGAGTCTATGTCGAACTCTTTCTGCTTTTCGTTGAACTCGACGCCCTCGTAGATGTACACGTCCATGGACGTCTAGTAGTTCCCCACCGTCACGGACACGTGCGTCTTGCGCTTGATGAGCACCGACATGAACTTGCCCACAGTCTCAATACCCTGTGACAGCGGGGTGACATCGACCAGCAGCAGTTGGTGGCGTCGTTGCTGATGCCATCCAGGGTGGCGCCCTGCACGGCGCACCGTAGGTGACTGCCTCGTCCCGGTTGGCTGACTTGAACAGCTCCTTGCCGCGGAACAGCGTGGACAGCATGAGGGAATACGTGTAAAACCTCCGACCCGCTCCAGTCCTCGGGCTTCATCTTGGCGTCCTCCAGCACCTTGAACACGGTCACTTCACAGCGCTTGAACAGCTCCTCATTGAGGGACTCGAACTTAGCTCGGGTAACGACGGTGGACGAGAATTCCACGCCCTCGAACAGGGAGGTCACCTCCACCGAAGCGGACGTAGTGGTCAGAAGCATGCGTTTGGCCGACTCACAGGCCGTGACGACGCTTGCACGGGCCGAGCCCGACGGGTCCAGGTTGCGGATCTTGCGCTCGAACTCCGTCAGCAGGTGCTGCACCATGTTGTTGTCGGAGTCCTCTCCACTGTCGCCGCCGGTCGACTTGACCTCAAGATGCCGTACTCGAATGGACAGGATCGACACATCGACGGTACCGCCGCCCAGGACAAAGATCTGCACGTTGCAGGCCTTGCCATCCGTGCCAGCGTTCGTGTCCAGGCCGTAAGCAAGGGCAGCGACCGAGGTCTCGTTATTGATACGCTGCAGGTCCAGACCGGCGATGGAGACGACGTCCTTGGTGGACTGACGCTGCTGGTTGTTGAAGTACGCGGGCGCCGTCACCACAGCCTGCGAGATTCTCTGGCCCAGGAAGGCCTCGGCCATCTCACTCATGCGCAGCACCACCATGGACGAGATCTCCTCGGGCGTCAAGCTCTTGTTCTCGCCCTTGAACTCACCTCGATCAGCACCTTGTCGTCGTCGCTCTCCTTGGTCGTGAACAGGAAGTATGTTGCATCCTTCTTCATCACCTTGTCGCTGAACATGCTGCCGAAGATTCGCTTGATCTCCTCCTCGATCTATGTGTACTTCACCTTGCGCGTGGCCTTGTTAACCTCGGCGCCCGATAACTCCTCGTCCTGCACCCCACCTCCCCCCGATCAATCCGCGCCTGAAGGAGACCGGCTTACATTGATTATTTTGCTTCTCTGGGTGTAGCCCGTGATGGTCTTGGCGTAGAGTTTGGTGTAAAACTCGAAGGGCGGCTTCCAGACGCGTGCGAACTCGATGTAGAGATCAATGCGTCTTGGCGCCCTGTATGGCCGACAGACTGGTACGTGTCTGACGCACACAACGACCGTCCGTTGATGCGGTGAAGTGTGTTCGGTCGTTTGGAATGCATGGGTTTATTCTTAATAGTAGTTTAGAAAGGTTTTGGATTTGGGATGGAATTTTGGACGTTGTCTCAAAGTGTTTTAGACTGTTCTGAACTAGTCTAAAACCATCCCTACATGTACCAGTGCAGCCACGGCATGGAAGCATTGTTAGCAACGAACTTATTCCCGATTATGTGCGACTTAGCAATCGATCTCGTCAAGGTATTTTTTCCAATCACGTTGAATAGGGTATCACTTTCTGCGATGGAAGTTACTTAGAATGAGTAAACCATCACTAATTCACCCATCTCATTCTCGAAGGCTACAAATCCTTATTGCATAACGTCTTCAACGTCACTCTTCAACATCCACTTCGAGCGCCGCCAAGACCGCGTCCACTGTCTCCTCCTCAAGCGCGCGGTCGCGGTGCTCCACAGTCACGGACGACGCCCCACAATATGCTAACAGCTTGGACAGCCTCTCACGCTCGCGACGACGCTGCTCGCTGCCCACGAGCTTCGCCAGCTCCTGCAGCGCACGTTGGCGCTCGCCGTCACTAGTGGCAGCCTCGTACTGATCGAGGATCGCCTGCTGCTGCGTATGAGCAGCTATCCATGCCTTGTCCTGATCCCTCAGTGCTGCCTCCAGTTCGGAAATACGCTCTCGGAGTTGTGCTATAGTTTGCTGGCTGCGACTGCGCTCGTTCGCCAGCTCGGCACGCAATCGCTGGCTTGTCAGCTGCCGACGCTGCTGCGTCTTACGGAGCTCGCCACGCAGATCCTCCAACTGTCGCTCGTAACCTCCTTTCATTGCCGCCATTTCCCTGGCCAGTGCCAATGCAAACGTCTCGTGGTCTTCAGCTGGTTAAGAACCAAACGAGAAATGATTGTTAAGCCGAACGGTGGGCAAGCAACTGGTTGAATAACACTATACCTACCTTTCACTTGACAAACTCGGTTCTCGAGACTTTCATCGTGACACAATAAACGTCGAAGCAGGCGGTTCGCTTTCAGCTGCTCGGCCACAGGGACAGTGTCGCGACCAGCAGCCACGGCGTCCGAGAACGGGTTGGGACCGTGGAATCCTGACAACAACGACCGAGACGAATGGCCTTCACCAACAGGAACCAACGAGGTCCCAATGTACTCGAGATACAGAGCCTCAAGTTGTCTGCACATTTCCTCCAACTTCCAGTCAATATTCTGCAGCTCCTGACGCAGGCTTTCCCATTGTTGCTGCATTTCTCGCCAACTCTCGATATCCTCGGACGCAGGCTTAGCTACAGCATTGGGCGCTGTTGTCTCTGTGTTTACAGTACCTTGTGTTTGTTCTAGGACAGGGACAAGTTCTGTATCAAACAACGCCATCATCACCTGCAGACGCTGAGCCAACAGCACGATGACCTGTTGGAGGAGCGTATGATGCGTCTTTTGCCTGCATTCTACTGACTCGCGCTGTTGATCAAGTTCTGCCCGCTCTTTTTCAAGCTGCGCACGCTCAGCACTCGCTGTCACTCGTTGCTTCTTCAAACCTCTACATATCGAAGCACTGGACAAGTTAAAACACACAAAGTGGCACAACGTGAACAAGTACACGAACCGGACCTCTGCTCTTCAGCAACACGTCTCTCTCTCGCGCTCAGTTGAGCGAGTTTCCCATCGATTTCACTCGTGCGGATACTCCCGTTGTGAGAAAGCTGTTCTTCCAATGCAGCGATCTTCTGTTTTGCTTTCTGCAGCTCGACACGGAGCTCCGATATGTTTGCATGGTGGCGTGCTGACTTCCCTCTTGGTGTAGCCAAAGCGTAAGCTAGCTCTCGGTCCAAATTCTCGCGAATCTCCGTCAGGTTCTTCAGCTCTTCTTTCACTGCTACTACTTCTTCCTGCAGCGTCTTCTCATTGACAGCAGACTCGTTCTCACTTTTCTCTTTCAGTTGCTGGAGCTGTTGATACTGAGTTCGCAACGTCCCCAATTCGCGTTCTAAAGAACCTTTGTCGGATGAAAGGTCTGCTATCCGATCCCCGTACTCCGTCAGCTTTTCTTCAAAAGCTTTTTGCTCCTGCTCACGCTGACGTTTTCGCTCCAGCAAGCACAGATTGGCGGTGGCAAGCTCTGCAGCTACTGCCTGAGCTTGCTCGACAGCATGCGTTGCCTTCTCTTGCTCCATTAGAAGTGCTTTGCGCTGCTGTTCTCGGAATAGCGCCGTTTGTTGTCTCTCAGCCACCAGAGCATGTTCCAAGGCAGAAACCCGCTGATGCCACGCGCTCTCTTCACGTTGTTGGCGATTCTGCAGTTCTTCATCGTCAACTGGGACCGACCGACTGAGTTTGGCTTCCAGCTCATGTATTTGGTGTGCTTGGTCTTCTAGCAGTGTCTGTTGTCGCTCAATCTCCTTGGAACTCGCTTCAATCCGAGCTTCAGTTTGCTGTAATAACCGCGTCTTGTTCTCTGCGTTTGTATTCGATGCAGTAAGTTTCGAGCTTAGCCTTTCGACGTCTTCGTTTCGGACTTTCAAGTCGTGATGGAGGTCGCGTATTGTGCCTTGAACCTGTTTGTTGTCTGTCTGTGCTGCTTTGAGGTCAAGGCGAAAAGTATCTAGCACTTGCTGTGCCTGGTTGAGCTGTTTAGTGACAAGGTTCAGTTGTGTCTGAGCGGACTGAGCTTCGGCCTCCGCTTTCGCAGTAGCTTTTGCTTGTCGCTGACTAACCTCGTCTTCTTTCAGACGGATAAGTCGCTCCAGCTCCTGCTTGTCACGTCTGAGTTGAGTCTTTTCCTGACTGGCAGCCTGTTCTAAGCTGTGATATCGCTCTATTGTTAATGCTAATGAGCTCTGGAGATCTGCTGCGTGCTTTTCCATTGCTTTGACCTGGTTTGCCACCAAGAATGGGTCATTATTTTGCACGTAGTTAGTAGTATTCGTGTTGACAAACCTGATCGTGGAGCGATTTTTCGGTTGCAGACAGTGTTTCTTGGTGTTGTTTCTCTGTGATCTCTAGTCGCTGAAAAGCACTCTGCAACTCGATGGTCGCGTTTTCTAGCTAGCAAATACAACACACAGCGAACAACGTAAGAGATTCGTGAAACAAGTACTTACTTGACATGTCGAAATGAATCACCTGCTGCTCTAGTTCATTTCTCTGCTGCTCCAAATTTTGAATCGACAGGATTGACTCCACTCGATCCTTTTCCAACGCTGCCAGTCGTGCTAGTTGTTCGGTCGATAAGGTGGATTGTGCTTGATCAGCATCGACTGGATCCTGAGTAATTTCATGCTCGCGTTCCTTGTAATGGACGTCAACTCGTTGTGATCTCTCGACGTGAGGTCGACTTTGAGCCAGGGCATCTTTGAAGAAGCCCATTTGCTCATTCAGCTGCAAGAGCTTTGCGTCCTTTTCAGCGAGCATTTTCGCAAGAACCTTCTTCTCTCCTGTGCTTGCCAACATAGAACGCTTCATGACCTGTTGATTGCCGTCCAACATCCCATGAGTTTGACGTTTAGAACATCCTTAATTAATTAAAACGAAAGAGCGATGAGCTTACCTCGGTTTGTTCGAGCACACTCAGCATACCACCGGCATAAATGGATGCCGGACTAGTGCCGCATCCATTTGCAAACTGTAATATTGGTGTATTGCCACGTTGTTCAGCAGGTGGACGTACTAGCTTCACTTTGCAAACGTTGGTAGAACCAGATTCTGTACTCTCACTGGCATTTTCATTACGAGCGAGACAAAATTTCATTAGCGAGACCAGCGTCTCAGCCAGAAGTCCTTCTAACCCAACCTTTGCAGCGGCCAGCTGAAGAATTTGTTAGTTTTGAGAGGGAGGGTGAAAAGTGACGATAATTTACCTGAGTGGGGTCGGAAGAATAGTTGTATATCAGTAGCTGCGTCTGGATACTGGCGGTGGATGGTGTTCCTAGATCTTGGTTAAAGTCCATATTGCGCTGTGAACTCCACCCTAGATATGCCTTGGTATCGCGGTGGAGGAGCAAATTTTTCACGTGATTTGGTGCCGAAGACGATGTTGCCGTGCTTCTGTTAGCATTGCCTTCGGTCTCAATTGCTTCTTTCTCAAGCTGTCGATGGGCATTGTGAAGGTGCAAAATATCGGCTTTTAGCTGCTGCAGGTACTGCTCATCCAGACTGGATGGTATATCTGTTATGCCCTCTTCATTCTCTTGCCTGTCACTCTCAGGGCCTGCAGTGGGCTCAATATCTAATTAAGTGAATAAATTTGAGTGAGTTCATTACCGTTTGACTGGATCCAAAGCAAACTCTAACCTTGGGTAAAGCATGATCTCTTTAAAATCTTCGGAATAGTATTTGGTAGTGTTCGGGTACCATCACGCGCGGTGCGTGGTCGCTGTTTTCCCTCATGGGACACAGCAAACGGCTCGGGCCGGCGAACACCACTACTGCTTTGAGGTCTACACAAACCCAGCAACGACCAATGCACATGTTTTAGTTTGTAAAATCAAATGATTCTTCGTTGACTTTCGTAGTACCGGTTGAGAAAGCGGCTACTTGCCGGCCGTTGGTGCAGGAATGAAGGCTGTTGCTGATTATGTTGCTGTTGTTGCTGATTTGAGCTGCGGCCGGGCAAACTGAGGTGGGGGATCTCGTCTTCGCTACTCCCTCGATTCGCGCGGAGTACCTTATTAAACCCCGAAAACGAGAGCGATCTACAGAAGTTCGAAGTTAAGACTCGATCCCAGTGCTAAGGCCAACAAAAGGGGCTCATTCATACTTGGGGCGCTCGTTGAGGAAAGCAACAGTAGGCGAGCGTGTAGTATGTCGAGGAACAGGTCGGCCGTAGAGATCCATGGTAGGCAAATGCAATACAGTAAATTGACACAAAGTCTGCTTTTAGACTTTCAGTTTTAGCGCTGCCAAAGCGTTCGACTAGTCGAAGAGCGTGAATCGTTGAGGCAGATTTCGAAGGATATGGACAACACTAGCAGTAAGCAAACTCATCTCTCATGCCCATGATCATTATCTGACTTTGTGTATTACACCAGCAGAAATAGACGTAAGTATCTACAGCTAGATTTGCCGATCGAAAGTGACATCAAACCTGTTCACGTAAATGTACAGCTTCCATCGCTGCTTCTTCAAGTGTTTCTCTGCTGCCATCAGTGGTTCCTTCATGGATTCGTAGTTCTCTCTGCATCCCTCTTTGCCTATAAAAGCACGGCAATTTGTATTTTACAGCAGCCCCAAAGATACTAATCGATTGACTATTAAATGTACTCGTAGATGCTGTACTTGGAGTCTTACCCAAAGAAGGTGTGGCAGGAAACGTGGTCTTGCTTGCTTTATTTGCCATTCTCGAGAGCATGCGCCTTTACCAAAGTTTGTTTTTGAAACTATATATCGTAAACTCCATGATTTCTAATGCGTACACGCATGATGTAACTAGCCTCCAAAGGCAACAAGACGAGGCAGCGCGCGCCATTAGTGTTTGCTATCGCGCTGGCTGGTCCAGCTTTCATTTGTCATAGTTACTTCCTGCAACTCCAGACTCATGTGTACGTGCGTGTATTTAACTTCAACATCCCTATACTCTTCCCTACTATATTTTGTGCAGATTGGAGCTGGAGCGAGTCATAAACAGCATTGCCATCGCACTCGTAGGCATCGAAGTGATTCTGGGCACTATGACCCTGCTGTGGCTGTTCAAGAAGAGCACCATGTCGATATGAATCCAAAGAATGAGGACAAGGCAAAGACCAGGATATGAAATGTAATATTCAGAAGTGAACGTTAATCAAAAGCCTCCACTACCTGAGCGTCTAAGCCATTGTGCCACGCAGCACAACCTGCTCAGCATCAGCAGCACGTGCAATAGTCGTACCCAGACGGTAAACTTTCTCGCCACTCGCTTCGACCTGACGCGTCACCTCAGCAACGTTGGCCTCCGGCAGAAGCAGCACCATGCCGATACCGCAGTTGAAGGTGCGAGCAAGCTCGGTGTTGGAAAGGTTACCCATCTTCTGCAGCCACTTGAACACGGGAGGCAAAGGCCAGCTAGCGCAGTCAATGTCCACAGCCAAGTCCTTGGTCAATACACGCGGGATGTTCTCCAAAAGACCACCGCCGGTAATGTGAGCAAGAGCGTTGATGAGCTTCGCCTTGACCGTAGGCATCAGCTGCTTCACGTAAATCTTGGTAGGTGTAAGCAGGCTTTCACCCAGAGTCTTGCCGGCCTCAAACGGGCACGGATCGCTGTACGCAAGACCCGATACCTCCACAAGCTTGCGAACCAGCGAGAAACCGTTCGAGTGCACACCCGACGAGGCCAGACCCAGCACGGCGAAACCAGCCTCAACCGGCAGAGGCAGGATAGCGTTCTTGCGCACGGCACCCACACAGAAGCCGGCCATATCATAGTCTCCGTCGTGGTACATAGACGGCATTTCAGCCGTCTCACCGCCGATTAGACCACAGTCCGACTGACGGCAGCCCTCGGCAATACCCTTGACCACATCCGTAGCCTCGTCCACCTCGAGCTTGCCGCATGCATAGTAGTCCAGGAAGAACAGAGGTTCAGCGCCCTGCACAATAAGATCGTTGACGCACATAGCAACGAGATCGATACCAACAGTGTCGTGCTTTTTGGCCAGCTGAGCCACACGCAGCTTAGTACCCACACCATCCGTGCACGCCACAAGCGCCGTGTCCTTGTCGTAACCAGCAGCCTGCAGGTCGAAGATGCCGCCAAATCCACCGAGATCAGCGTCACAGCCCACACGCACAGTCGACTTGCAGAGCGGCTTGATCCGGTCAACCAGTTCGTTGCCAGCGTCGATGCTCACACCGGCATCGGCGTACGTGATCTCCTTCTTTCCGTTCTTGAACAGCAGACCAGTCTGCGCCAACTTGATGGCGTGCAGGAACGCAGCTCCTTCCAGAGGTTGCACACGCGCCTTGAGCGTCTCCGGCGTGTCGTTCTCCAACACTGGGCACTTCATCTGCACAGCGATCGGACCAGCGTCCACCTCCTCCGTAACGAAGTGAACAGTGCAGCCACTCTCAGTCTTCTTTGCGTCAAGAACAGCGCGGTGCACAGCGAGATCCATGCCACCAGCGAAGTCAGGAAGCAGCGACGGGTGCACGTTCAGCACCTTGTTTTCCCACTCCTTGCAGAACTCGCCCGACATAATGCGCATGTATCCGATAAGCAGCACCAGATCGATGTTCTTCTTCTTCAGCACTTCAGACACTTGAGCGTCGAACTCAGCACGCGACAAACCCTTGGCCGACAGAGCCACAGACTCGATTCCGTGCGTCTTGGCGCGCTCCAGGATGCCAGCAGCAGCCTTGTCACTGACCACGATGTCGATACTGGCGTTCAGGTCACCTGCTTCAATGGCATCAATGATCGGCTGCATGCTGCTGCCACGAGTAGAGCCCAGCACCGCCAGCTTGAGCTTCTTAGCACCATGCAGCAAGCCCTTCAGACCAATGTCCGAACGGTACTGCGCGCCCTCGAAGTGGATCTTCGAGACTCCTTCGTACGCGCGGTCCAGAGCTCCCTGAAGCGAGGGACCCACAGCAGTAACAGCAAGGACACGGCCACCCGACGTCGCGATGCTGCCGTCTGCCTTCGCTGTACCGGCGTGGAATACATCGACGTCCTTCAGTGCCTGAGCATCATCCAGACCGGTAATGATCTTGCCCTTGGGGTAACTGTTCGGATATCCTTGCGATGCCATCACAATGGTAGCTGCAGCTCCGCTCTTCCACGACACAAGCGAGCGCTCCAGACGGTGCTCCACACAGGCACGCATGATCTCGAACAGGTCGCTGTGCAGCAGTGGCAATACCACTTGCGTCTCCGGGTCACCGAATCGACAGTTGAACTCGACAATCTTGGGGCCAGTAGGAGTGAGCATGAAGCCCGGGTACAGCACACCAACGTACGGCATGCCCTCCTTCTTCATAGCAGCAATCACACGCTCCACAATGTCAACGCACTCGCGTTCCAGCTCGCTAGTGAGGCACGGAGCAGGGCCGTAAGCTCCCATACCGCCCGTGTTCGGGCCCTGGTCGCCATCCGAGATACGCTTGTGATCCTGCACGCCAGGCATGCACACCACACGCTCGCCGTCGCAGAACGCAAGAAGCGACACCTCCTCTCCAGTCATGAACTCTTCCAAAACAACCTCATCGCCAGCTGAACCGAAAGCCTTTTCCAGCATAACCTCACGCAGAGCTTCATGGGCTTCAGTCTTGTTGGTCGGGATGAGAACTCCCTTACCAGCAGCAATACCCGAAGCCTTAACGACGATGTTGTGGTCGATCGAGTCCAGATACTCCTTGGCCTTCTCGTACTCTGTGAAGTTTTGGTACGCCGCAGTCGGGATGTTGTTGCGACGCATAAAGTCCTTGGAGAACGCCTTGGACGCCTCCAGCTGAGCGGCCAGTTTACTCGGGCCAAACGTCGGGATGCCGGCAGCGTTCATCTTGTCAGCCAGACCATCGATCAGCGGGGCCTCAGGTCCCACCACGCAGAAGGTCACGCCCTTGCTCTTGGCAAAGGCGATGAGCTCGTCGTGCGCCCCCACGCCGATGTTGACGTTGGAGATGCCGGCAGCGACGTCCTCCGTACCGGCGTTGCCCGGAGCCACATAGATGTGGCCGGCGGAGGCAGACTGGGCCAGCTTCCAGGCGATGGCATGCTCGCGGCCGCCGTTGCCGACCAGCAAAACGTCGTGAACCAGCTCGTCGTCACCGTTGAGACTGGCGGCGATGGCCTTGTCCAGCTCGGCGAACAGAGCGAAGGCCTTCTCAGCCAATGCGCGGCGCTCACGCAGCGAGAAGGCAAGCGAGCCGTCGCGCGAGATCTTGCTCTGCACCGTTGCCAGGTCGGCCTCGTCCACGACGACGCTGATCTGCTTGTGGTTCCAGGCGGCAGTGCGCACGAATGAGTAAGCGCCCGAGACCCACTGAGCCACGCGCGAGTGCGCCGCAGCGCCAACGTCCGAAGCGCTGGGCGGCAAAGCTAGCACCGCCTCCACACGGTCCGAGAGCATGAGCTGCACGTCGGCGGGCGTAGCAACAGCCACGTGCGGCACCTTGGCGGTCACCAGCGCGGCCTCCACAGCTGGCGAGCACAGCGAGGCTACGCGCACACCGCTGGTCTGCAGAGCCGCCGCGGTCTGCACAAGCGCATCGGGCGCGCGGTCGCCGCAGAGCACCACGAGAGGCGTCGATGAAGCCATTGATAGAGAGCTTGCTGGGTCTCGAGGGACGCAGGCAATTCGGGTATGGCTGGACCAGAGTGTCAGGTACAGCGGATGGCTAACACGGCAAATGGATGAAAGCGAGTTTCCACCAATCCTGGCGCGATAACCGTTTATTTTGGCAAATCACAGGGCGGAAGAAACTGTATTTGGTGTGCGCCACACCCTAGTTGAAGTGATCGCAGCAGCAGCCAATCATCGTCGTCGGCTAAGGCTGGGAGCAACATTCGCAGGCGTGGCTCCATTCTGCCAGGAAAGCGTTCCTCGGAGAAACGAACCATTGCACTGCACTGCAGAATTGAAACGTGTAACTTGATCATTTTGCTGTCTTCGGTCAGGCGCTGCTCCTTCTCTTCTTTCTTTCTTGCATTGATAAGACGACTCAAGAGAATTATGGCGCTTTCATCCGGCATGGTATCCGACGAGAAGTGATCCTCTCCCTGCCTTCAAGCCAGCATTCGTTTGTTTGTTTGTTTGGTTGTCTCCTGGTTGTGGTTTGGTTCCCGTCGTCCCTTTCGCTCCTTCATGTTTACTGGCTTCGTACTACAAGTATGAGGATGCCTGAGCATTGGATGACTTGAGCTCACAAGTTAGCCACTTTGCATGTGGTGCGCTTCATGCTTCGTGATATCAGCGCTTTTAAATACCGCAGTTTGGCTATGCAAGCTGTCCTCGAAGCACACGAATACGGCATTACAGTCGCCTCCCAACCAGACCGATGCACACTTGCACCACCGCAATTGCTCGAACATGCTTCTTGATTTCATCGCTGGCAGCACGCTTCAGAAGGAGCCAGCTTCTTTCTACTACAATATAGCATAAAACACAATCACACACACGGTTGGATGTCCCACAAAGACGTGGGGTTGGAATTATATTCCCACCGCGAGGGCGTTTAGTACAATCCTTCCCCCATTACGCTCGCAAAGTCTAAAGGCGCAGCAAGCAGCGTCCCAGACTCCTGGGTGGATGGTGGTGCTGGCAGCGAAGGGAAAAGCTAGCAGACCAGTCAACAACAGCGCACTTAGGCGGAGTCGGCGATGGTCACCTCAACCTCGACACCGGGCTCAATCGAGATCGACGTGATCTGCTTGACGATGTCCGAGGGGGCGTGCAGGTCGATGATACGCTTGTGGATGCGCATCTCGAAGCGGTCCCACGTGTTGGTACCCTCACCACAGGGCGACTTGCGCGTGGTAAGACGCAGGATCTTGGTGGGGAGACGCACGGGGCCCGACACCTTCAGGTTCTTGTCCACAGCGCCGCGCTTGAGGTCAGCGCACACCTTCTCCAGGTTCTTCACGTTACGGCTCGTGAGCGTAATGCGAATGCGGTGGATGCGGGTCTCCTCCGCCTCGACGGTCTTCGGCTTGTTGACAAGGGACATGATGCTGGATAGAGGGCTGTAAAAGCAGATCAGAAGGCGTCAGCATTGAGTTCATAAGCGATAAAGCTTAGCGTAGTCCAGCATACAACGCACCAGTAGCTTTGGACTGACAGTAACCTGAATCCAAAATGACTGCGCCATGCTGTTGGCGGTGCGTGCCGAATGGATGGCAGCCATTCGCTGACGTAAAACACCCATGGTACACTGTACCATACCTAATTTAGTGTGCATGGTGTACAACTGCTGTTGAAATCATAAACCTTATCCCTAACAGGAGGTATCATCTTGAACGGGGAACTTTGATACACGCAAGCTCCAGCATTCCCTTTCTCGCGTCATGAGTGTGACGCTGTCGGGCCGCCCCACCGCTGTGTGTCTAGGCATGGGCGTGGCAGTGCTGGCCTCAGTGTCGTTATCCAGACACAACGGTAAGCTGTGGCGTGCTTTTCGCCGAGCGTCCGCGAACTACCGGGCACGGCGGGGGTTGTGCAACTCCAGCGTTGATCGAGTGTCGAGCGTGCCGTTGCTGCCGTGCGCCACAGAGTTAGAGCAAGTGGCACCCGGTAGATTCAGCAAGCAGAAGATCACAGTTGTGCAGGTTTGGGATGTCGACGTTAGCAGAGACGATAGAGCGGAGTTCTTGTTGCTGATTTTGTATGTGGTTTTCGAGCAGCTGAACATCCTGGCGAGCAACTTGGCTACGCGCAACCACTTTCCATACGTGGTGGAGTCTAGCCTCAACTGGGAGAACCGCAAGATGGCATTGCTGCGACAATTGGAGGCACTGGACGCCGACGTTCTCTGTCTAGAGGAACTGAGCGACTACTGGACGTATGTGCCAGCATCTTTGGGTGCTGTGTAAAGGAACAGGAGTGTGACACTGATTTTTACTGTGTGGCAGGTTTTTTAAACCAGAGCTACAAGATCGCGGATATGATAGTGTCTATGTGAAGCGGCCGTCGATCCACGTCTCGAATTGGTCCGGTGAGAAGAAGCAAGACGGTTGCGGCATTTTTTACAAGTGAGTGAGCGTCGTACTGATTGATGTAGTGGAGCTTTGCTGATTGTTGGTCTGTGTGATCTCAGGAAGGACAAGTTCGAGTTGAAGGAATTTGAGGCGGTGAACTACCATGACCCGCATGATCGTGTGGCTGTATTGGCATTGCTCAAGATGCGTCATTTCGCACAGTTCGTGCTAGTTGGCTGTACACATCTGTGGTGGAATGCCAAGTACGTTATGCATGGAAGGCTATGATCTTAAAGGAAACTAATGCATTTTCGACCCGTTTACAGGAAGGTGGATCACCAGATGGCTGAGATTTATGAGCTTGAGGAAGAAGTGCTCCGCATGAGCAGCGATGTGAGGGACAAGTACGAGCGCGAATTGGCCAATACTGTGACGGGTCAGAACAGCGTTCCTATTGTACTCTGCGGTGACTTCAATAACTCTCCCGAGTCGCCGATCTACGAGTACATGGAAAACTCGTTCATGCAAAAGCCCAACCTGGAGGGCTTAAGTGAAGTCTTCCGTAGCGCATACGCTTTCTACAAACCGAACGCGCTGGCGAGTGCACTGGAACACTCTGACGAGGAGCTGCAATCACTCAAGGTAGAAGAGGGCAAGAAGGCGGAGCCACCACACACTACAGTGAACTTCAGACGATGCTGGACGATTGACTATATCTGGTACTCAAAGAGCAGTCTAGTACCCTCGCGAGTATTGGAGATCCCACCGGAGAGCGTACTGCGTTCTGAGGACGGGCCAGGTAACTGGTTCAATCGGCTAGCCATGTCGGACAGCTTGAACCGATCAGGTCGTCTGCCATCGGGCCTGCACGGGAACTACAACGGAATCCCTAACTCCGTTTATGGCAGTGATCATGTGCCCATCATGGCCGAGTTTGAGTTCCTCTGCGCTAGTGAGGACAGATCTGTCGAGTAGAATTATACTTACCGGTACCCAAACCAAATCAAGACAAACGTGTTGAAACCACACCCTACGACGTGAACTCTTTGATGAAAGAATTATCACTGTTATTCCTCACATGAATGGTGTCCATTATCGCTGAACTGCTCTCCTTTAGAATACACTTCAACATACACGAACGGTTAAAAAAAAACACTTCGTGCAACATTCAAGCGACATTGAAGACGTTGCTGTGGTAAGAACACCAACGTCATTCAAACGCTTGCTCATCGTGGACTTCCATGCAGATTCGCCGACGATTGCAGACGCCTATGCGGCCTCGTAGCCGACGCGTTCCATCTGTATGCAACCTCCAGGTTGCTGTTATGCCTTACCCATCTTCACATCTACGTTTGCCATTGGTACGTTGTGTACGAGACTGAAAGCATCGGAAAGACACATGTGATGGCTGAGAATTCTGACGTTTGGGGATTTATTCCAGCTGCGTGAGGCGTCGACGTGGTCGCTGGCGGCTGGTGGACTTCAGAAGAAGTGGAAAGGTCTGAAGCAGCGCACAGCTTGGCGCTACAAAACGCTCAAGGATGACGACACGGCCATCGTCTTCTGCGATGAACAGGAGAAGGAGGTGCACCTGAAGCCCCGCAATCGACGGCTGGACGACCCGTTGGCCTGTCACAATGTGCTGGCTGCAGCTTCCACGGCCAGTCTCAATGGCATTTTGGGCGCTACGTCGCCCGAAGTCTCGAGCCAATTCTGCAGGACAATGGTTGGCTTCATGTTGCATTCATGCTCGCCGTCCGAGCGGGCGAAAGTCTTGGACGTCCTCACGAAGCAGCGGCTGGAGGAGATCACGATTGCCAATCGAGCATTAGTCATTCGAGGTATTCAGCATTGCTTAATGTCACCATTGATTCGTGGTAAGGCGGTGCTGCACACTGCAGCGAAGAATGTGGTCTGCGGTACATACGAACTCGAGTTATCCGTTCTAAAGGAGCAGATCCATTCAGACGAAGAGGCCTTTATTGATACCGCGGGGCATTTTCAGTTCGAAGATGGCGGAGAACTGGAAAGGCACCAAAAAGTACACACTCAAGAAGAGCCGCCACACAATGGAGACCTCATTCAGCTCATTTACGGCAACAAGAACATCACTGAAGTCATTGCAATGATGCAGCATATTGCAGTGGAGAGCGTCAAGGTGAAAGAGCAGCAGCCCAATCTGGTAAAGGTAGTGAGCGATATCGACGACACGCTCTTTCCTGGGTGGATCGACAAGCGCTACCCGCTTCACATCCCGTACCCTGGCGTCTCAGCTCTCTACGCTCGCCTCTCTCGTGGACTTGCTCAAGCTGCAAATGGCGAAAATGTGCGTCCGTCGATCACCTTCCTCACAGCAAGACCTCGTGGGTGGCTGAGTGTTGGGCGCTACTTGACACTGCAACACTTGAAAAGCTTGGGTGTACCGAACGTCACAGTGCTAAATGGATCGGTGAAAGGTCTCGTGAGCAACGAGAAGATTGCCAATCTCAAGTTGGACAACTTCTCTCGCTTTGCAGCGCTGTTCCCAGAGTTCAAGTTCGTCTTCTTCGGTGACTCGGGTCAAGGCGATGCTCTTCTGGCTTCACGACTACTGAAAAGCTGTCCAGAACAGGTGCTTGCAACGTTCATTCACAACGTGAATCCGATCTTCGCTCGGACGGGAGACGGCGGGCGAAAGAGAGCCTATGCAGCGTAAGTATTTGAAGCGGAGCTTTATCCATTTTCTGTTATACAATTGGCTAATCGGTAATATGTTTTGGTGTTAATAGCGAAGGCGTAGAGTTCTTCGGGACGTACGCAGGAGCTGCGTTGGGTGCTCACAAGAAAGGGTTGATCTCAGCTGAGGACGTACTGGCGGTCGCGGATGCTTCGGAAAAGGAACTGGAAGAGATCCTTTTCCTTGGACCCGAAGCTACTATTATGAAGAGTGAGCGACGCAATGAACTACAGCAAGACCTTGACCTCATCGACATGTGCTTGCATGCCAAGAGGCATGAGCTGGGATGAAGACGTAAGGTATAGAGTTAATTGTATCCAATCAGATTGGGTTATCCTTTTGCCATTGGCGTGTCCTGTGATGGATCGCGAGGAAGCGCGATCTCGAATGCTGCGCTTGTGGATGGCGGCGAGCTCGAGCGATTCAGCCCGCATCTCTATCCACACAAGACAGGGGTGAGTCCTTCTATTCATGACTTTGTGTATATTCTCGTCTGCTAACACCTCTTGGAACATCAGCACTGTGGTGCACACGGACAAGCTGATTCCCAATGCTGGACAGACGCTTTTTGCATGCACGAACCTCGCTACGCCCCTTGGAACCTACACGCACGCTGTGCTGCGAGATCAGGACGTAGCGCAGCTGGAGTGGCCACTGCCGACCACGGAGCTGCGAGCGATGGTACTTAACGACAATTGACGACGGAACCTCACCAAAACGATTCTAGCTGATAATTTTGACGGCTGCTGGCGGTGACAGCACAGCAACGTACATGGTGTTTGGTGAAGAATGAGTCCAATCTACAACGTACGACATTAATTTCACTATACGTCTCTATCTTAGTTCATATTGTACGCATCCAGCGCGGCAGTACGACCCGCGCCGGACATTTCAGGGGATATCATTAGTAGTCTGCTTCAACTCGTTGCGCGCGATGGGGATAAAATGGCACGGTACAGCGCGCACAACGAGCGCAGTTAGGCAGACGTTGGCCAGTTCATAGATACAAATAAGGAGCTTGGTCGGAGGATCGCGCTCACAGACGAAAAATCATGCAGGGCTGACTCGAAGCCGTCTCATTGTCGCCGGGTGACACGCTCGAAGCCATCTCGTTGTCGCCGGGTGACACGGTAGCAGAAGAAGTGTCTCCACCACTATCGGTGCTGGTGGTGTTGCTACTGTCTTCACTGGGGTCGCTGTTGTTGTTCTTGCTGTTGTCCTGCGCCAGTGCAGCGTCAACTGGAGCCTTGTGCATCATCGAAAACGATGCAACCGATTGTTCGTGAGGCGAAGACGAACCGGACGAGGACTGTGACCCACCTTCGCCACTGCTTCCACTTATGATCGAAGGCGCGCTCTTGTCAGCGTTAGGAGCTGCGACTCCGGAATCCATGCCGTCGTCGCCGTCTTCACTGTTGCTAGTGTCACGCAGCCGATACAACACGTTATTTGGCTGGGCTGGCCAGTCGATAATGAGGTGGCGGACGGACTGTTCGACGCGAGACTGGAATCTACGCACGAGCGCCGTCGCGATGTCTTCAGGCAGCTCTGAACGGTGCTTGAGCGCCGTGCGCTTGAGCAGCTCAACCAGCTCAGTGAACGTCAGCAAGACACCCATATCAGCACGCGCGTGGATCACACGGACAACGCCAGCCTCGTCTTCGAACGGGATGTAGTTGGGGTCACAGGGCGTGTTCAGTTTGTGCTGCTGGCGTTTCTTCAGACGACGGTGAAGTGCAGCAAAGTGCACGCCGTGGGCTTTGGCGGCGTTACGCAGACTCATGCCGTGGATGGCTACATCTTCCATAGCCGCCTCCCACACTTTGGCTGGCACCAAGTTGCTCTGACGGTAGTTGCGGTCGCTGGAGTTGCTATCGGAGTGGACAGAGCGACCGGTGCTGCTTCCGGGGCTTAGACTTCCTCGATATTTGCTGTCTTCTCTTGATTGACGCGGCGGCTGGTAGAAGCGGAGACGCTGCTGCGGCATCGAGCTGCCAGCTCCATCCACCACGTCGACATCTTCCCAGGAGTACGAGCTGCGGGGCTGTTCGGGACTGAGTTGTGTTGGAGGTGGAGCGGCCGGTTGACGATAGCTGCGGTTCTGGGCCCACCGCAGTTGGTCTCCGCGGCGCTCGAGTTCGTACTGCTGTTCGATCTCGTAGCTTCGGCTATAGCGTTCCTGTTGCAGCTGCTGTGGCGTTAGGATACCCTTGAGGCTGTTGCTACTGCCAGTTCGGGTTCTGCTCCTGCCGCGGATGATGTCGTCCATGTCGACGAAGTCGTTCTCACGCTTGAACAAGGTGAGCCAGCCGACAGACGGGAAGTTTGTCGGTAGCGCACGACGGCCATTCAGGCCCACGATCGCGCGAGCCACCTCGGCGATGTCGGCGTCCGCGTAGCCCTCGAGTCGATGCAAGCGTCCGTCGCTAGTCTCGTAGTCATCGTACTGCTGCTGCTGTATAAACTGTTCTCGGAGCACGGAAACGATCTCGTTGTTGATCTCTGGCGTGAGCTCACAGACTGGCGGAGGGCTCATCACTGTAGGCACCGGCGCCACGCTAGGCAACGGCGCGCCAGTGGGGCTACGTTGGCCGAGCGCAAGCGGGTTTAGGCGCGGGAACACGTAGCGTTCATTAGCTGACGCGCTGCTGCTAACTGCGACTGCGAAGCGTCTGTCGTCGCTGGTTGGGCTGGTGGTTGATCCAGGTAACGACTGCATTGGGGGCGTACCTCTAGCTCCATGGCGCTGCAGAGTGTGTTGACGCACGAGGCGCTGCAGCGCCACCTGCTGCAGCCCGAAGGTCTGCGAGGCCTGGCGCATTGAGAGGCGGCGCTCGACGACTGCGTGCACTGCCTGCGCCCAGACGCCGTCGCTCACGGAGCCTGGGCTCCAGTCGCGGCGTGTATTGCTCATGGCTTGTTCTGTCGAGGGCGAGATCTGTTGTGCGGTTCTGTCTGTGGTCGGTTTCGACATCGTTCTGTAGCGTTCTTTGGTAGAAAGAGTTGTGCTTCCCAGCAAAGTACGAAACGTATCGGCCGACTTACGTAAGACGAACGTGATGTTCGAAAGGTGTCTCAACTTTGGCGTCGTTTATGCTTTGATGCCCGGCGTCGACATTGAAGAAACTCGCCTGATTCGCGTTTGAGAAAGTGTACACCGCTCAGGTGCTTTCTTATTTAACGATGTTTGCGGATATGGGGCGACTTCTGTGTACTTAGAATTTTGCAGATAGCAAACTCGTCCACCACTTCCATTCGCTCACAACGGCAGCTGACGGTACTGACCATATCAACTATACGATGAAATCAAACATTTGAAAAAATACAATCGGTTCAACTTAGCGAAGGTTTCCAGCACGTCCCTGCCTGAGACGCTTCGGCATGGAAACGCGGCTTTTGGAAGTGAAAAGATCAGCGATCGCCTGCCTACGCTCGTTGGTCGGTCGGACGGCGACAAGATGACGTAAATACTTAAGCAATACTTAACAAGTTTTTTTTACCTACTTATACGAGTTCTAAAAAACGCACTTTTCCAAAACATCTGTTTTAACACGGCGAGGAACGTTAAAAATTATGCGAGGGAGGTCAATAGAAGGTAAAAAAGTTGTGTTTGAAAGTTAAGTGAGGCGGCAGTGGCCGCCGGTGAGACTTACTGTCCAGCCAATCTATTTGGCTACATTGTGTAACAAACATAGTTTTGTGTTACGCAAGTAACCTGCAGCTATGCATACTAGTCAAATAGACAAGTTTGGTGTGGACCACCGGGTGTGTGTGTGGCCAAACGTTACATTGACAGGGGTCACACCAAGGCCGCGCCACATCGCGGCGCTACAAGTAGGAGTAGTGGGGCGTTACCTGAGACGCTGCATTGTTCTCGTGAGTAGCGCCTCGCGCCTCAGTGGTATGCGGCTTGCATCCGCGCCACGCCCTTCTTCTCATATGGGAAGAAAAAGGGGGGGGGCTGCCTCAGAACGAGACGGCATGCTGCCCGTTTGTTTTTTTAGGAATGTTCTAGCGTACATGTGTTTTTGGAACATGTACAGTCTCATATACAAATAAATGTATTAGGAGTGCACGTGTAATTTTGGAATGGAGTAGTAGAAGTTTCCTTTGCCAGTAACACCTTCATGGGATGCTGCGTGGTGCTTTCATTTTTGGGGTTGATTTCCTCTAGCTGCGATGTTTACCAGCGCTAGTCGTATCCCATGAAGCTCACCACGTTTATTTTGGTGTTATGGGTCTAGTTAATGAAAGTTTGAGCTCCGGTAGGATACTCATTACGTTTTCATCGCTACTCCGACAACAGGCTGCATTCTCTCTGCTTTTTGGTCGTCGTGCTGGCTGCTGGTACTACACACGTCACTGAGGTCTCTGTACGGCCCTGTAGCCTAACTAGGATGCAGACCTTGTGTCTGTATCCCGAAAAAGCCCTCAGTGTGTGTGGTCCAAAGTGCTGGTTTGATTGTACCATATATGATTGTATTGTTTATGATACTAACATTTCGATACGTGTGTATGGCAGATGCCTCGTGTGCTTCGCCAGTCAATTGTGTGCCAGAACCAAGAGGCTTTGCCTGATCATTCTTCATTCTGTGGGTTGTTCTCAACCAACAACGCCCTACAGAAGCGTTACTTTGTCACCCTGGCCTCGATGAACTCAAGAAGCTCAAGGCTGAGAAGTCCAAGGAAGATCATGGTAGTGAGCGTGATGGTGCGTACACTACGCACGCCATGCATCAAGCTCTTCAAAAGCGTTAGAGACTTTGTGAATATATCCGCTATCATCTCTTTTGTGTTGCAGTATCGTATTTCAAATTATTTTCGTTCTACGTTTCTTGTACAAAACAGTAGCGGATATGGATGTGTTTGCTGCGCCCGTGAAGTTCGGGGGTGTATGATAGTTTGATACAGCTCTGGTTATCCTCATAGAGTGTAATTGCGTGGGGACTTTCGTGTTTCAACTCAGTCAGTAGCAGCTTTAGGAAGATAACTTCTTGCATGCAGTGGCACAGTGCAATGTATTCTGCTTCTGTTGTGGACAATACTACTTTATCGTGCTTTCTCGATTGCCAGGAGATTGGGCCTCCGCACATGTACGTGATAAACCCGCCTACCGAGCGTCTTGTATCGGGGCAGTTGACATAGTCGGCATCCGAAAAGGCTTTGAGGTAGTGTTTGTGCTATACTGCTCCATGTTTCCGGTTCCACCAAGGGTGATATCAAGGTTTCGAGTACCATTTAAGTATTTCAGGCCTCTCTTAACAGCATTCCAGTGTTGCTTTCCTGGATTCGCCAGGAATTGTCTCACTTCTCGAAGAAAGTATGCTAGATCTGGTCTAGTTCTCATCATCAAGTACATGAAGCTACCTACAGCCTCTCTGTACGGGATCGCTTTCATTTCTTCATGTTTCGCCTGTGTTTGTGGACACATGTCGAGGGAGAGCTTTACGCTTGGATCCGTTGGTGTTCCAACGGGATACGCATCGAGATGGGAAAAACGATCCAGGACTTTCGTAGCGTATTGCTCTTGATGAAGAAAGATCGATCGAGTAGTCCGATTTGCGGGCAATAGACCAGCCCAAGAGATATTGAGCCTCAACTAAGTCTGATATCTTGAAGCGCTTCTTGAGAGCCTCTTTGATGTGGTTTATGATGTCGAGCGTGGAAGCAATGATGAGCAAGCCATCAACATATACTAGAATATAGCATGTGCTGCCGTTGACCTCGCCGATGAAAACGCATTGGTCTTTGACGAGCTTGCGAAAGTGCAGTGTCATGGGGAAGGCGCACAGAGTGAGATACCAAATACGTGGAGCTTGTTTGAGTCCATAGAGGCTCTTCCGTAGTTTTCACACAAGGTTTTCCTTGCCTCGGACGCGAAATCCTTCGGGTTGTTCCATGTAAATTTCTTCATCCAGAAACCTGTTGAGAAATGCCGTTTTGACATCCATCTGGTGAATTTCCATGTCCAGGAGAGCAGCAGTCGTCAGGATCATGCGCAGGACTTCCATACGGATGACAGGTGAGAAGATCTCGTCGTAGTCGATGTCATATTTTTGAAGGAAACCTTTGATAACCAGACGTACCTTATAGCGATCAATTTCACCGTTGCCTTTGTATTTAACGACAAACACCCAGCGGCATTGGAGGGCACGACGTCCTTTGGGTAGTTTCGTGAGCAGCCATGTCTTGTTGTTCATAAGAGATTTGTATTCAGACTGGGACGCTTGTTTCCAATGCAGTGCTTCTGGTAACCTCATAGCTTCGTTGTAGGTGGTTGGCTCAGAAATGTGGCGGATTGCTAGCAGCGTATATATTTGAGTGAGGTGCGCTTTGCGTTCTTCCGTATCAAGGGTGCCGTTCAGCAGTTGTGACAGAGACGCAGTGTCTGAATCAGCATTGGCTGCTCTAGGTTTCTTGTTTTCTCGGCTGTTGGAGTCAGCAGTGAGCGCATTGGTATTGCGTTAAAGCATTGTTGCTAAGGGTGGTAGGATAGGGCATGTGAGCACACGAGTGGAATTTTCCGGAGCAGGACGGAGTATGTCTGAATCGGTGTGAGGGTCGAGGAAATCCAGTCGAGGGAATTCGTTTTCACGAAACGTGACATCTCGAACATACACGATTCGGTTTTCTGTCGTATCTAACAGTTGATAGCCTTTTTTAATGGCCGACAGGCCGAGGTACATGCATTTCTTAGCTCGTGCTTCAAGCTTCGTGCGATAGAGCTCTGGAATGTGGGCATATGCAGTGCATCCAAACACCTTAATGTAGTGGGCAGACGGTGTCCGTTTAAACCACTTCTCATGAGGAGTGACCTTGTCTGTCACTGAGCTAGATGTGATGTTGAGAAGATCGGCAACATGTTTCACACATTCTCCCCATAGAGCTTTCGGTAGATCACCGTCAATAAGAAAAGCTTTAGTCCGCTCCATTAGGATACGCATGCGCCTCTCTGCTACTCCATTCTGTTGTGGCGTGTACGCATTGGTAAATTGTGCGTGTGTGTTGTATTTCTGAAAGACAAACGTCCTAGTTTTTCATATTCACGAGCGTTGTCGCTTTGCAGGGTTTGGACTTCAGGGTCATGCATATTGGCCTGATAGTGGAGTTCTCCGACGTCAGCTCGAAACATGTTTCGAGCTCGCTTGCGAAAGTCTTCATGGTGTTCGTACACATCGGACTTGCGTTTGATGATGTAAAGACATATATATCGCGAGTAGTCGTCTATGAAGGTCAGAAAATACCTACACCCTGAAAGTGTGGGCACAGGTAGAGGACCAGCCATGTCTGTATGGACTTTTTCAAGGGGAAATTTGGCCCTTTCAACAGTACGTTTACTGAATGGGTTACGATGGGCCTTCGAGTAGGTATACGAAGAGCAGAAGTAGTCCTTATTGGAGTCGAAGTTCGAGATTCCCATGTCTGTGACTGTGGTCGCTTTAGTCAGATCCTGCATAATGCGAAAGTTAGGAGAACCCATCCGTTTGTGCCAAAGCATGACATTGTCAGTCTTACCTGTGGTAGCCACATGGGCGTCCGTGGCATCTTCGGTCAGGTTCGCGTGGAACTGGTAGACGTAGGAGTGTTCTCCGGTTTTGGCCTCAAACTTGTTTCAGTGGGCGAAGAGCAGAACGCATTCCTTGGCGTTTGGAAAGTTGATTTTGAAGTCGTCTTGGACGGCTTGGCGCACTGAGAGGAGGTTGAACTTGAGGTCAGGTGCATAGAGCACATTGTTCAGAGTGATGACTTGCTCGACGGCTTTCATGTCTGTGATGCCAAGCTGCACATCACCCGTTCCCTTGATCGGAATTTGGTGATTGCCGCCGACTATGATGGTCTTGCCTACGGTGGGGGTCAGCTTCACGAGCCAGTGTGGGCTCGACGTGACGTTGCGAGTGCAGCCCGAACCCACCGTCCAGACTGGATCATGTGGGACTTCTCAAGCAGCAACTCCAATCACGCTCGTGTTGGGGCTGAGGTTGAGGGTAGTGATGGCAGTGATGCCGTACTCCTTGTTCCCGGAACCGTTGCGGTCTTGCTGGCGACGTCCCTGGAACTTGTTGCGACGTTGGAGTCGCTCGGAGTTGTCGTTCCGGTTGCATCTGAAGTTATTGCGAGGCTGGGGTCGAGGACGATCATTGTAGCTCCCTTGGTAAGGGTGGGGGGGGGGGGGGGGGTTCTTGGGATCCTTCAGCTCGAAGTTGGCCGGTAATATTGTGCCAGCTTTGACTTCCCCATTGCGAAGGTGTCGTTGCAGTCAACCGTGTCATGATTGTCACGGTGACAGTACGTGCACGTCGTCGTTGTCGTAAGTGCCTTGACCTCTTGGGCTGGAGCGGGTGTTGGCGTCATGGCTGGAAGAGCTCGCTCAGCACGGGTTTCTCGTGTTTCCAGAGTTCCGTGCTTGAGGATATAGCGGTTGCGCGCTAGCTCATTGTGGACCTTGGTCTTGATGTTTCTCTTCAGGTCCTCGTACGGAATGTACGTCTTTTTGCCCTTCCACACAGCCAACTCGGGTTTCCACTCAGTCGGCAGGGAATGATATAGGTACAGCGATTTCTGCTCATCACTTAGCACACTGTTCGTGGCTTCCGTGGTAGCTTTCATGGCGGTCTCCAAGTCCATGATGAACTCGGTGAGATCCGTGCCCACTTCGTATTTGAGCGCCATGAGGTACGACTGGATGTAGTAGGGATCGCCAAGAATGGCGGCCCCCTCCTACTTGCTACACAGCGATTGAAAGATCTCAACGCGGTAGTCTTGTCTTTGACCATGAGAACGTGTTGATCGTCGGTGGTCTTGATGATGAAAGCCTTAGCTTTGGCTTCGAGGTGCCGCAGCTTCCTCGAACTCAGCTTCTGGCTCTTGGCCTTCAGCTTCTCAGCTCGCTTCAGTTCGTCGCGCTTTGAGCGATGAACGACTGGATCGGAGGAGGGAGTCGTTGCCCCATGTTGACGTCTCCATCGTCGTCTGTCAAGCCGTCTTCTGAGGCATCACTGGACGAGGAGTCCGCGGGTGAGTTACCCTTGGGCGCGCCGATGGCGTCGAGGGTCGTCTTCACCACGAGGTTGGCGTCGAAGAGCGCGGGGTCGAGGTCGTTGTCGTCACTCAGTTCGGTCTCGAACTCGCCAGTGTAATCGACCTTGGTGATGAAGTTGAGGAGGTACTTGCCATCGAGAGCGGCGGTGACGCGGGTCTTCCAAATGACGAAGTTCCGGCCGTTGAGGCGCGGAAAGTCACGGTCGTCGGCGGCGGAGGCTTGCGTTGGGCTCATAACCTATGCGAGGGAGGTCTGGAGTGAAGGACTTGAGCAATAGAAGGTAAAAAGCTGTGTTTGAAAGTTAAGTGAGGCGGCAGTGGCCGCCGGTGAGACTTACTGTCCAGCCAATCTATTTGGCTACATTGTGTAACAAACATAGTTTTGTGTTACACAAGTAACCTGCAGCTATGCATACTAGTCAAATAGACAAGTTTGGTATGGACCGCCGGGGGGGGGGGGGGGGCAAACGTTACATTGACAAAAATACATGAAGAAATTTGACTAGCACAACAATGCCGGGAAGATTATAACACAAAAAGACAGAAACAGCACGGCAATTTGTCCCTTTTGATTGCACAGCGCTTGCCACGTTGACGCTGCGACAGCTACCTGAAGTATTGCTAAGTAAAGTAACAAGTTTAAAAGTAGCGATAATAATAAGTAACATTTGTCAAAAATACCAATAAGAAAAGTAGCATTTATTTTGAAAACTCAAACTTATTTTTGAGATCGTTATGCATCTCACTCGGGAATCAACACCACCGCCCAGTCGTCTAGTGCTCCAGAACGCCAGGGACCGCTATGGTGGGAGTCAGCGCCTCGCAGTTCCCCCCAACCCCCCCCCCCAGAACGTTACGACCAGGCGATGTACTAGAGTACTATTCACAGGGATTCGTGTGCGGCGATCCTCGCGAGCTGCGAGTTGGAGTTGTGCTCAAGATCTCGAGCGCGAACGATACCTTTCCGGTATCGCTGGATACCCAGGAGGCTCTGCCGCTAACGAACCTCGTCCGGCGCCGGTAAGACAGCGCAGGCAACGCGCTGCTCGTCAACGACGTGCGCTGGCGCAAACTACGGTCCTTCGACCTGGTTGCTGGGTCCTTCAACGCGTCCACGCGAGCTGCTCGTCAACGACGTGCGCTGGCGCAAACTACGGTCCTTCGACCTGGTTGCTGGGTTCTTTAACGCGTCCACGCGAGCCGCTCGGCTTCAAGACGCACTCACAGCTGCCATAGACGAGGCTTTTGCCATTGCGGGGAACGACAGCGTCAGCTCGTGCCTGACCAACAAGGGCCTTGCCCTTACCCCACCTAGAGACACTGAAGCCGCCAGCTCAGCGGTATCCAGCGCAGCCAATTCTGCTCTTAATGCGCCACCAAGCTGCGTTTCAGAAGGACGAGTCTTCTCCAGCTGACGGACCCGAGAGTTTTTAGCAAAAACTCACTTGATGCCCCAGTTCACGAGGTCGTCGATTATACAGCCGGGGCCAGTGGTGATGAGGTGCTTGACGCCGCCGACGATCTTCCCCGCGCTTTTGTAGCTCGTGTGAGCGACGATGAGGCCAACAGCTGTAGAGGACAAGCACCGGTGTCGCCGCCATGGTCGCGTAATAAGCTGCGGCGGACGGTATTTCTTAACGAACGTGAAGTGACGGACGCCGACCTGCTGGACGCTCGCCGCTTTGTCGAAAGTGTACCCACCCATTACCAGCGAAAAAACGCCGCCACCAAAGAAGTTCAAGACCGGCGAGTGGGGAAATGAACGACGCTCGCGCAAACGCCGCCACCAGCGACTGGCCGGCATAACTCGTAGCGGTTTGCAGATCTATCATGCTCATTTAACAAAGGCCCAACAAGGTCAAGCTATCCAACGCCTAGCTGGACTTCGAAAGCGGCTTCGTGAACTACATGAGCGTCGACCTACCTACCAAGAGCCTCCCTTCATCCCTATAGAAGGCCCGTGGCCCACCGGCGTCACAAAGCTTACCGTGTGCAACAATCCAGACAACGCCTCTTTTAAAGACATAGGCGACTTCGGAGGCTGCGAGTGCGTGGGAGATTGTTTCCTGGACTCGTGCAGCAACACTACCGGCGCGCTGTACGGCACGTCGGAGTCCTGAAATCTGGAGGCAAGGTGTAGGAACGCACCACGTTCGCTTGAAACGCTCAAGCTGTCTGATACGGGGCGTGTTGGCCTCGGCGTTTATACGTGCACCGATCTGGATGTGGGAGATGTTATCGGTGAGTATGCAGGAGTTCTGTGCGAGTATGAGCCCTATATTGAAGGTGTTCCGGGGCAGAGGCTCCAACACAACACAGGATACACAATGCTTTTGAACGGCAAGTCGCGTAAAAACAAGTACGTATACATCGAGGTGCTCGAATGCGGCTTCACCACACGGTTCATAAGCCATTCCTGCAGTCCCAATGCAGCCTTCATGGAAGTGCAGAACAGAGCTAGCGTGAAGGTGCTTGTTCGGATGATTGCGGATGTGAAGACAGGTGGGGAGATCACGGGAACCAAACCTGGTTCAAGTGCGCGTGCGAGCAGTGCTGGTCGCAGGACCATGACACGAACTAAACTAGCAACGCCCTGTACGATCCCTCACGTAGACAGTGTCTTAAGGTTCTTCGTTAGCATACTGTTAAACTCAGAAGAGAGAACTACAGAGTTTTGGCAGTTCTAACATGATAAATGCCTATGCAGTAAATTTTATTGTCCAGCACTTCGGTAATTCAAGGCAGCTTTGTGTAGACGCTCGTTAGACTGATCGACCAACACGATCTACGCGAGGGAATTTCCAGAAGGTCATTTCGTCAGGTTTAAATGAAGAATATATAAAGGAAGAATACTGTATAGCTAGAAATTGAATACTACAACCCAAAGGCAATACGAGCGCATTCCCGCATATACATCGTGTAGTATACATGTGTGTTCGGACATACAACTACGCGCCACCGCCCGGTTCCCCATAACTACAGTGAGGGATCTCATAGAGAAAAACTCTCAGGCCCACCCTAGAGCACCGAAGGTTTGAATTTACTACCAGGTCGTAAGGGTGCTAATAGCTGTGTCTGTGTGTGTGTGGTGGGTACAAGAGAGTTGAATTGAATGGGGTGACACTTTTCCTTCAGGTTCATTAGTTGCTGTAGGTATAAATGACCCATTTGTACTACCCACTGCTACGAAAACATCAAATTAGAAGCTTCTGGAGTCATTTTCAACAAACCCTCAGGTATATTCATGCGCCATGACCGTTGACAGCCCCCCGCTTCAATCCGCACGTCCGGGGTCTGCGTGCAGCTTGTGCTGGAGCCTCTAAAAGTAAGTGCAGTCCCAACTGATAGTGGTCTGCCACCCGAAGCGCCGTCTCCTCGCTTCCGCTTGCTGCGGTTCACGAGAATATTCCTCCCACTGTTGTCGACGTGGTCCGTAGCTTTGAGGGCGTACACCACATGCACGCAGACACCGAAGGCGTAGCAGTAGTTACAGGGACACCAACGACTCGTAATATCTACGGGCCAGCCTCCCCAAGGCTGACCCTGGACTTCCATGCGCGCGTAGTTCGCCTCCGTTCCACACCCCAATCAACCTTCCTTTTACCATCTCGGAGAGCCTCCGCGTGAGGGTTGCTGTCACTGCAATGTAAAAACTGAATTTCCTCGCGGCTGAAGATAGATCGTGGCAACAAGCCGCCAGTTCCTGTACTAGACTGCCATCTGAATGTCTCCGACGGATTATTCGTCGCTGCGAAGCTCGACGGCGTCAGGTATCGTTGCCACTTTGAAAACGGTCCATACAGCCACTGGTCTCTCATATAGTGGACGAATCCAACTAAAAAAGGGTTCTGCATCCACTGCAGCAAAAAGCGGTCCCGAAGTCCGTTGAACTCCATTTCGCTCCGGGAAAAGTGTAAATCGTACACGTCGCGGATTAGAGAAGCCGGTACCACCGACGGAAAAGCTTTGATAGCCTTCTGAATGTTTTTAATCACATGGAAAAAACACATCAGAAACTGGAAGCCGGTGCAGCGACCCAATACAATAGTGAGCGCGTTTAACTGCGCTCTGTCGGCATCCGCCATCACATTGCAAACCGAAATCTCCCTTCCACTCTGATAGTAGTATTGGCGACGTAGAGATATAGAAGCAACTCCTCGAAAATAGACTGCGTCTCTTGAGACACAATGAAGAGCACCACTAAATGGAGCCCTCGTGAGCGGTCCGACACTCCGACAACGACGACTGGGTAGCCACGGTGATTCATTTTGTAGGTAGCGTCGATTTGTAGAATAAAGCTGTCTTCAGGTAAATGCAGCCTCTTAATCAGGGTCTTCGTAGATATTGTAATGGGCTCACTGTGTGCCCCCTACTTCGGCTTACACGTTAGCGCACGTGTATGAGGAAGCGTAGTTTGCTTAACTTAGATTAACTATACTTACGTCTTGTAAGTATAGATTTATTTAAATAAGAAAGCAAAAGCCGATTCACCGTAAAATGGAGAACTGTTATTTATGTTTATG